GTGCTGTTCTTGCTGGCCTGTCAATTCCGTAACAAGTTGACTGTCACCATTTTACAGATGAGGAGACTGAGGCTTAGAGTGAGAAATTTCTCACTAGCCTGGAAAGGCAGAGTCTGTAAGTGAGTGCTGGTCTGGTCCGCTGTTTTCCAAGGGCCCCCAGAGCCAGCCTGGCGATCCAGCCATCTTCCCACAATCCACTGATCCTGCTGGTTCAGACACACCCTGCTGATCTCACCCAGGCCCCAGCTCTGGGCGCCAGCTTTGGCCCTGGCCTTCTCTTAGCACCTCTTTACCAGTCTCTTGACCTTGAATTTGCACCCCCTAAATCTCCCTTTCTTCTCTCTTTCCCTGGGACTCCAGTGCATGCCCACATTCCCTTGGTTACCAAGGTTTTGATCTTGATGCTCACGCTGGGCTTGCTTTCTATTCTCTAGCCCAGAGTTTGCCCATCTCAGCAGTGCTAAAATTTGGGACCAGGTCACTCTTTGCAGTGGGGGCCGTGCATTTTTATTATTGAGGAGCATTCTGGCCTTGACCCATTGGGTGCCGGGAGCAGCCCCTCCCCCACCAAGTTGTGAAAAAATCTCTCCAGAGATTGTCAGTGTCCCCACGTTGGGGCAGCATCTTGCCTGGCTGGTCTAACACGGCCAATTTATTTCAATCTCAGAGCCTTTGCACATGCTATACCTGAACTCTCCATTCTGGTTTTTTTTTTTCCCTTTCCTTTCTTTCTTTCTTTCTCAATTCTGCGTCCTTTCATGTCATTCACATCTCAGCTGAAATGCCACCTCCTGAGAGGCTCTCCCTGACCATCCTGTTACTCAACGACCTCCCAAGTCACTCCCCATACCATCCACCCTATTTTAATTCTCTGCACTGTACTCACCATCGGCTGATGTTTCTTCTTTGCTTGTTTACTGCTTGTCTCTCCTGCGAGAATGTGACTTCCATGAGGGTAAAGACCTTGTCCGCCAAGGTCAGTGTGCTTGGCACATAGCAGGTGCTGAGTAAATCATTATCACATCAGCAAGCTCATCCACAGTCGTCCATCTTTCTTGACTCCTGTTTGTCACTGCAGACAACTAAGCAAGACTGGATTCCCCAGGAAGGACAGAGGTTTCCCCTGGGGGCTCCAGCCTCCCTCTGGCTCCTGCTGGTGGTGGATGGGACAATATAGAACATTCTGGGCAAGTAGTTGGGAGAAGGAAGTTTTCTGGGCCGGAGCTGTCCAGAAGGCAAGCTCCCGGCAATAATCCTAGTAACTTTTGTCTTGGTACTTCACAGGACTCTCCCTGCCAATTCTCCCAGCAACTGGGATAATGAAAGAAATTGTTTGGCCCTCGGGCCCTGACTTAGCTGGGCACTTAGCCAGACTTGGTGGTTAACCATTGTGTGCCTGGTTAATAGGCTCATCCCAGCCAGATGCCCTTTGTGAAGGGCAGTCCTCACAACAACCTTGAGAGGCGGACATCATGATCCTCTCCCACCAGGGAAGGGAATGAGGTCCAGAAAGATAAACCCCCAACCTGGGCCACTTGGCCTCCCTGGGCTTAAGTTTTCTTAACCACCTCCTGGGTGGGTGAGAGGAGGAAATGCATTTACAAAGAGAGTGAAAAGAACCCATGAAATGTTGGCTGTAGTTAGTTACTGTTTTTCAGGTTTACTCAACCAGTGGCAGAGTCAGGAATCAAAGCTTCCAATGTCATTGTTTCATCAAGTGAAACATTGAATGAATGAATGAATGAAATCTAAGTCCCTAGAGCAAGTTTTCTAAGCCTTGGTTCTGCTGATACTCGGGGACAGATCACTCTTTGCTGGGGGCCATCCTGTGCACCTTTGTATGTCCAGCAGCATCCCTGATCTCTACACATCAGATGCCAGTCGTGACAACCAACAACAAAAATGTCTCTGACATGGCCAAGTGTCCCCTGTCGGGGGGAGTGGAATTTCCACCTCCTCCCCCTGGTTGAGAACCACTGCTCTGCCGTGTTACCATATTCACGTTACCATAATCATGTTTTTATATTTCGAGGTACTCTGAAGTTTCAGGTGCTAATATACATACTGTCTCCTGTATTCTCAGCCACCTGGGGACTTCAGTTTGCCACCTTGGTTTCCTGATGAAGAAAATAAACTTCAGGGAAATTCAACAATTTGTCCAAGTTCTCTAGGCAAGGGAGTGACAGATCTAAGAGGCAAACCCCATTTGTTGGCCACATTGGAATCTGTGGGTATTTAAGAATTCCTGGCAAAAATTTTAAAGCATGATAATGGTATTGTGGTTAGTTTTTTTCCCTCCAACTCTTTAACTTTTAGTGACTCAGAATAAAATATTTACAGAATGATACGATTTATAAAATGACTGGGATTTGTTTCAAAATAATAATCCCAGATGCTCAGATGGATGGAGTGGGGTTGGCGGGGGTGGGGTGGAGTGGGGTGGGGGATGGTGGTCAGGGCTGAGGCTGGAGGCTCCTTATACCACTCTGCCTACTTTTGTGAGTGTTTAAAATTCTCTGTAGTAAAACTGTAAAATATTCTTCCATCTGTGTTCTTAGGGAATAGTCGTAATTATCATTATGTGTTGAGAAGGAGCTAAGTTCTAAGCCAAGGGATTTCCAAACCTCCTCTGCCTTCTCCGAAGCCTAACGTTATCCTGCTCACCTTACAGAGGAGATGTGGATTAACCCAATTCAATTCTTAGCCTGGAAGGAGGAGCCTGGGGGTACCATGAGTGGGGAAGCAGCGCCCTCTGGAGGCCATGGCTGGGTCTGCCGCGTTGAGTGAGCAGAAGGGGCTTGAACCAGGGACGCGGTGGGAGGGGGAGGCAGCAGAGGTGCTGGCTGACCTGGGGCGCAACATTGGAGGGGGGCGCGCCAAAACAATCCAGCGGTAAAGATAAAAACTAATTTTACACTTTTAATTGTCATAAGACGATAAATAACACTTTAATGCAATCTTTCAAAAAATCAAAAACAATGCAGAAAAATCCGCAGCAAATTAAATATCACAATTTTAAATACAGTGAGGTGACTATGCAAATACAGGGTTGGATCCTGTTTTTATTAAGATTTTGATACTTCGCTCATCATGCATTTCTGGCATTGATGTTGATTTTTAAAATATTACTTTAAAAGATTATTTATTTGCAAATCAAAACCACAATGAGATACCACCTCACACCCACTGAGACAGCTATCATCAAAAAGCTAGAAAAGAACAAGTGTTAGTGAGCTTGTGGCAAAATTGGAGGGTGTGGGGAAATTGCTTGGTGGGAGAGTTAAATGCTGTAGTCGAGAATACGTGGAGAACAGTTTGGCAGTTCATTAAAAATTTAAACACAGAATGACCATATGATGGGGCAATTCCACTCCTAGGTATAGACCCAAGAGATTGCAACAGGTGTTCAGACAAGTCCTTGTACACGCTTATTCAGAGCAGCACTAGTCAAAATAGCCAAAAGGTGAAAACAACCCAAATGTCCATCAACGGCTGAATCCATAAACAAAAGATGGCAAATCCATACGCTAGATTATTCAGCCATTGAAAGGAATGAAGCACTGATACAATACGAATTTGATGAATTTTAGGAGCATTATGCTGAGTGAAAGAAGCCCAATATTAAAACATCACATATGGGGGGGGCGGGTATAGCTCAAATGGTAGAGCACGTGCTTAACATGCACGAGATCCTGGGTTCAATCCCCACTATCTCCTCCAAAAATAAATAAATCTAATTACCTCCCTGAGCCAAAATAAACTAAGTAATAGAATAATAAATAAAAATATTTTAAAATATATATAAAAAAGAAAATGTCCCCCCAAATTTTTTTAAAAAGGTCATATACAGTACAATTCAGTTTATATAAAATGTCCAGAACAGACAAATCCATACAGACAGAAAGCACACTGGTGTTGCCAGGGGCTGGGATGAGGGGATGGGGAGTGACTGCTCATGGAGATGGGTTTCCCTTCAAGGGTGACGGAAATGTTCTGCAACTAAACAGAGGTGCTGGTTGTACAACATTGTGAATGTACTAAATGGCACTGAATTGTACACTTTAAGATGATTGATTTTATGTTATATGAATTTTACCTACATTTAAAAAAATAGATTTAAATAGGAAAAAAATTTATCTTAGTCACTAGCTTTTGTTTTGTTTTGTTTTCTTTTGGGGACACATTCTGAACCCTCCAAGTGTTGCCTGGAGGTGAATGTCTCTCCCCAGCCCTGGCCCTGCTCCCCTCTCCCTCTGGGTGTGGCCACCATGATCATTTCCAGTTTACAGACCGGGAAGTTGAGGTCACACAGCTAGTATCAATGGGAGTAGTAAGTCAGCCCTCTTCATTCGTGGCTGCACATCTGCAGATTCAACCAACAATGAAATGGCAAAGAATTCAAAATTCGTCGCCATTTTACAGAAGGGACTTGAGCATCTGTGGCTGTTTATATCGGTGGTGGTCCTGGAACCCATCCCCTGCGGATATCGAGGAATGGTTGTATTTGAGGTCCACTATCATCTGTATTTTTAATTAATCATTTTATGTGGTCTGTAACCCACCAACCCTTCCTGATAGTCACATTTAGCTGCCTGTGTCCGGGACTGGTCTGCGCCCCAGCCTGGAAGTCTAGCACTTAGCCCTGGACCCAGCCTAGCGGGGTCCAGAATGACTGCCCAATGGAAATCAGCAGGTGGCCTTATTTTTTTCCTCAGTGATTTGTAAGCTTTGGGGAGTCACAGACCACACATCAATAAAAGCTTTGGTACCTGTTCTATAAAATGACAGGGACACACAATTTTGGCTACAGTCTCAGGGATTCAATTCAAGAGGGACCAATGAAGATCAGGTTAAGCTCAAAGTCAGACATAGAAAACAAATGTATGGTTACCAAAGGGGAAAGAGGGGGTGAGGGATAAATTAGGAGTTTGCGATTAATATATACACACTACTATATATAAAATAGATAAACAACACAGTCCTAATGTATACCACAGGGAACTATATTCAGTATCTTATAATAACCTATAATGGGAAAGAATCTGAAAAAGAATGTGTATATGTATATGTATAACTGAATCACCTTGCTGTACACCTGAAACTAACACATTGTAAATCAACTATACTTCAATTTTAAAAAAGCTCAAAATCAGACAAATACTCTGAGACTCAACCATTCTTAAACCACCAGCATAATTGCTACTAAAGAGACAGACACCCACATGCAAAAAAGACACTTATCAGGCACATATAACAGCTGTCACTTCCTGATTGCTTGCCTGATGACAGATAACCTAGAGCTGTCACTCTTACTAACTTATTCAATACTCAGGTGCTAGGTTTTATCTCCATTTTCAGCTGGAGAAATGGAGACAAGGAAGGCAAAATAACTTGCCCAGATTGAGTGTGATGGTTTAAAAAAAAACATCAACCTATAGAAAAGCTCACATGGTGAGGAACTGATGCCTCCAGCAAACAGCCATGTGAGGGAGCCAGTTTGGAGATGGAGTCTCCAGTCCCAGCTAATTCCACGACTGCAGTCACGGCTGTCATCCAACTGCAACCTCATAAGATACCCCAAGCCTAAACCACCCATCCAGGCTCTCCAATTTCTGCTCTCCAAACTGTAAGATAACATTTGTTGTTTTAAACTGTTGTTTTTGGGGGGAGACATTTGTTACACAGCAATGAATAACTAATACAACAAACTAGGAAGTGGCAGAGATGGGATTTGAACCCAGGTCATCAGGTTCCATAGCCCAACATGCATCATAATATAGAAAATAAGAAACAGTGTGGACGTCCATCAATAGGAGATTGGGTAAATAAATTATGGGCTATTTATTTGGTCATTAGAATTCTATACTGATTTCTAAGCAACTCCTTACAAACAAAAGCAATATTTTATATATTTTTACATACCTATCAATAATTTATTTTTTATTGCAGTTTAGTTGATTTACAATGTTGTGTTAATTTCTGATGTGCACCGTAATGATTCATTTATACACATATATATAGTCCTTTCCATATTCTTTTTCATTACAGGCTATTAGAAGGTATAGTTCTCGGTGCTATACAGTAGGGTCTTGTTGTTTATTTTGTACATAATTGTTAGGGTCTGCAAATCCTGAACTCCTCATTTGTTCC